ATCATAACCCTTTCTATCCTTCTCACATAGTTAGATTCTTATTCATATCCATTAATTCTCCATAGAATTTATAATCCATAAAGAATAATAAAGTTTTCAAATATTTCCAAATTAACATTATAACCATTGGGAGGTCACTCTGTCATGTCTCAATCTCAATAAATACACACCCACCTCCTTTTTTAAGCAGATAGACTACTAATAATAACTAACAACTATATGGAGCTTTAGGTTTACAAAGCACTTTATAAATACTATCTCATTTGATTTTTACAACAATCCTGGTGAGTAGGTGCTATTATTATCCCATTTTACAGATGAGGAAACTGAGTAAGACAGGTTAAATGACTCGCTCAGGGTCATACCAGCTAGTCAGTATCTGAATCAGGATTTGAACTCAGTTCTTCCTGACTCCAGGTCCGGTGCTTTATCCACCTAGTCTCTATGTATTTGATGATGCCTTTTATGGCACTTCTGTCATGCCAGTCGTTGTTGGTAACTTGACCTCTGCCATGCCTCTCCCCATTGCCCTTTGGATCACCAGCAGTTGGAATTCTCCTGAAATCCTGGTGCTTCATGTCTAGCAGGAGTTAGAAATACTTCTGGGCTGTTCAATATGGAAGTCTTTGCAGAGTAGCCTGGTATTTAGAAATTTAGAGGGAGGGAGGGATTGGATTAGATGACTTCTTAAATCTTCTTAAGATGTCTTCTACCTCTAAGATTCTATAAGAACCCCATCTGGGACAACTAGGTGGCACAGTGGATAGAGCACCAGCTTGGGAGTCAGGAAGACCTGAGTTCAAATCCGGCCTCAGACACTTGCTAGCTGTGTGACCCTGGGCAAGTCACTTAATCCAGATTGCCTAAAAAAGAAAGAAAGAGAAAGGAAAAAACCCCATTCCAAAGCCTGAGACACAATTGCTACTACATGGCCACCTTCTCTGGTCCCTATTCCCCAGTTTCTCTGTGCTATATCCCAGCATCTATACTGCTGTTACAGCCAATAAAGGGTTAATGCCCCATCTGTCCTCTACGATAGGAGTTTGGGGCAGTTTGTAACAGAGATCAGGTTTCTATGCATGGAACTGAGTCACCATCCAGGCCAAGCTCCCTGCTTCCCTAGGAAACCCAGACAAAGCCTAGAGGAAGCTCCCGATTTCCCAATCATACCCAAGGACTACTTATCCACTCCGCACCCCCCTGCAGGTGGCCAGTCCCCCTTCCCCAGGGTTGAACCGAAATCTTTGCCCTTCAGAGACCTGATCAGTCAGTCAATAAATATTTAATGAACACCTATTAGATGCAGTGTGCTAAGTTAACCTGGGTAGGAATAGGGTTACAATCAGCTTATCCAAATTCTTCCTGACCCCTGTGCTTTCTTCCTTCTCCCCCTTTTACCTCAAGTTCCCAAATCTGCAGGATGTTAATTCTTGGGAAGTCATTTCTGCCGGCCAGCTAAGATGTCTTAGGAGAATGAGGAGCTCAGAGGGCTCTCAAACCCCTCCCCTGCCTTCAGAGCCCTGGATGACTCCCCATAACTCCACCTCAACTTTCTTTTCTCTGGACCCCAGAAGCTCTTGGTGTTTCCTCATAGTCATAGACCCCTTTGGCAGACTGGCAAAGCCCATGACCTGCTTCTCAGAATAAAATAAAATACATAGTATTTCAAAGGAAACTAATCATGGTGAAATCGAATTATCAAAATATTTTAAAAGTCAAGTTCACAGACCCCAGGTTAAGAATCTCTGAGTGAAAGGCTCTCTGAGAGGTGACAGAACAGGCACCTCCTGAGTCCTGTTAAAGCAGGATCAACTTGGCGTCCATTGTGCCAAGATCTTCCCCCTCCTTGTGGTCTTAGGAGATATGGACTTTATGGGCTCTGCTGGGTAAAGAGGGGCTGGAGTCTCCATGACTGCTGGAGAGGGAAGAGGAGAGAGACCCAGAGAGATTCCTGAGTTTCGGTGGGCAAATGTGGGAGGAATGTGAAGGCTGGTGAGGGAACAGCTGAGATTCCAGGGTCAGCATCTCCAGAGACCCAGCTGACTGAGATTTGGTTTCTTTCCCTCCCTCCATCTCTCTCTCTCTCTCTCTCTCTCTCTCTCTCTCTCTCTCTCTCTCTCTCTGTGCCCGCACATGCATGGATCAAACACTGGAGATTAGGGGCCCTGCTAGCTCAATCCCCCACCAACCTCTATCCCTCTTTGTAGCCAGTTTCAGAGCTGAGGGAAGAAGGCAGATATTACCCTGCCCCTGGCTCACCCAGTTGTTCCTGCCCCCCCTTCCATCCTATCATCTGTCACTGCCTCTCAGTTTCTCAGCCTGATTAGCTTTACTTCCGCCTATCTCTTTCTAAGTCTCATTTTCCATATGTCTCTGCCTCTTTCCATATCTGTACCTCTTTGTCTGTCTTCACCTCTATTTTGGTCTCACTTTCCAGGGATGACCACTTTTGTGGCAAAAGGAATGATGTATACATGTATAATAGTGTGGGTATTAGGGGCAGCAAGGCGGTGCAGTGGATAGAACATCGGTCTTGGAACCAGAAAGATCTTGAGTTCAAAGGTGACCTCACACACTTACTAGCTGTGTGACCCTGGTCAAGTCATTTAACTTCTATTTGCTTCAATTTCTCATCTGCAAAATGGGGACACACTGGAGAAAGAAATGGCAAACCACTCCAGTATCTTTGCCAAAAAAAACCCCAAATGGAGTCACAAAGAGTCAGACAAGACTGAAACAACTAAACAACAACATGTACATATATACATGTGCATATATATTATAAATATAATATACTATGTGTGTGTTTTCCTTATGTGTGCTGTTTGTGTGTGTTGTAGATCTGTATTTATCTGCATATCTAATGTAAGTGAGATGCAACTTGGAGTCATAAACTCTACAATCACTCTCACTCCGGATCTTGGGATGACCTCATCAGTTTAGACTTCGCTGAATCACAGCCCTTTAGTCACTTCATGCCGGACAGGAAGTGTTGGCTCACATAGCCCTCTACCCCCCCCTGCCCCCCACATCCTCCCCTTCCACTGGCCAAAGCCTCCTACTCTTCAGCTAAAGGGCTTGAAACTGACCCTAGCCTAGAGAAAATACATCTAGTCAGAATTTATCCGGGCCCATAGCGCCCTCTGTTGACCACCCTGAAGTACACAGCCTGTCCATGTCCAGAACAGGTCCCTGACTTCTGGGATCAATCCCATCCTTGCCCCTGCCTCCGTTCAGGACAACTCATCCCAAAGCCCACACACAGAGGGGGTGCAGGTGAATATTTGTCTCTTAAGACCAGTCTCATTCTTGATTTGCTGCCGTCCCTGACGGCAGAAGTTCTCATTGTAGCTAACTTCCATCCTTCCTGCTGCAGGACCAATCCCTTTCCTGGGGCTGAGAGCTAAGAGACACAATCCCTTCAAACGTTTCTTTTCCATTCCTCAGGGTCCAACCCCTCTTCCCTTTCAACTACCCTAGCTTCTCACGATTCCCTTGAGTTGGAGCCCAGGGGAGGTGATTTAGGCCTTCAGGATTCTTTCCCATTCCTCCACCCAATCCTATCTACAATATAGTAGAAAGAAGTACACGAGTTGGAAACAGGAAACCAAGGTTTAAATACTGTTTCTGCTACTTCCTGGCTATACAGACACTGAGCAAGTTATTTCACGTTTCTAGAGTTCAGTTTCCCCATCTGTAAAATGGGGACAATAACATTTGAGCTATCCATCTCATAGTGTTACTGTGAAGATCAAACTAGATAATGGAGATTTTACCATAAAGACTTATATGACTGCAAAGTAGTAGTAGTAGTAGTAGTAGTAGTAGTAGTAGTAGTAGTAGTAGTAGTAGCAGCAGCAGCAGCAGCAGCAATAATTGTAGTAGTAGTAGCAGTAGTAGTAGTAGTGGTAGTAGTGGTAGTAGTAGTAGTAGTAGTAGCAATAGTAGTAGTAGTAGTAGTAGTAGTAGTAGTAGTAAAAACCATAAAACCTTATACAACTGTAAAGTAGTAGTAGTAGTAGTAGTAGTAGTAGTAGTAGTAGTAGTAGCAACAGCAGCAATAATTGTATTAGTAGTAGCAGTAGTAGTAGTAGTGGTAGTAGTGGTAGTAGTGGTAGTAGTAGTAGTAGTAGTAGCAATAGTAGTAGTAGTAAAAACCATAAAACCTTATACGACTGCAAGGTAGTAGTACTACTACTAGTACTAGTATGGCAGCTAGGTGTTTCAGTGAATAGAGTGCCTAGGACTGGAGTCAGGAAGACCAGAGTTCAAATCTGGCTTCAGACACTTATTAGCTGTGTGACTCTGAGCAAGTCACTTAACCCTGATTGCCTCAGTTTCCTTATCTGTAAAATGAGCTGGAGAAGGAAATGGCAAACCATTCCAATATCTCTGCCAAGAAAACCCCAAATGGCATCATGAAGAATCAGATACACCTGAACAATAATACCGCTAAGGGAGAGATCTGCCCAATGACTTGATAAATTGCTGGGGAAATGACATCGCTATTGATATTGCCACTATAGATTAGACCAGAAGGTGTATTTATAACGGAGTTGAGGCTGAACGGAAGCACAGTCCACCAATTCTTTCACAGAGGTCAATGATGGAATTAGTAGAATTTTTTCATCTTGTACTCAAATGAAAATATCATTTCATGAGATACTCAGTCCCCTCATTTGGAAATGGGCACAATAAACAATTACAGAAAGACCATATGATGATTATTGCAGAGGATGTTATCTGCTTCTCCAACAGACTTAAGAGATAAGTAAATTCGATTTCAATGCAAAAGCAGAGACATAAGGGAAGAAAATAAAATATTGACATGACAGGGTCATTTCAAAATCAGCTTTCTGTTTGTATTATTCAGATCACCAACTAATTAGAGCAAAGTTAACAATCAAAAGGGTAAAGACACTGCATGCCAACCTATTCTTCTTTTTGAAGAAGTTCTGAAAAATGGAAGATAGACGAAAATAAAGACATTGAGTCTATCGCCATTTCTTAGGGAGATTTAATCAGTGTAAAACATGTGCCCACATGAGATTAAAACAACCCAGAAGCCGCCTTAGCCAACAAACACCATCTCCTTGCTATGCAGAGAGACATGGAGGCAACACAGATTTAGAGTAAGTTAGAATTATTTGCAAAATGTATCAGAGAATGATGGCAGAAGAATTGTGAACAGTGATGACTTAGAAAACAGTAAAAAAAAAAAAACAAAAATAGTACTTGGGGAAAATGAAGCTTCAATGAACTAGTTGTAAGATTCATTTAGGCCAAAACAGCATTTATAAATATAAAGATTTACAACAAATAGGTGTAAAATGAAACAGATTTGCCACCATCTATTTTCACCAGCAATGATAATGGAACTAGCTAGCACATCTGGAGTCTAACACCTTAGCAAGTGAAGTACTAGATAAAAAGGTAGAAATGATATTTAGGAAGATAAACTTGGAAACATAGTAAAAGAGTGGAAAAGATAATGAATGGTATTTTTTTTAAGTTTGCTAAAAAGACGTCAGCAATACCAACCCATAAGCCTACTTTTATTATCTCTTCAAAATGTCTGTGAGAATGGTTTACATATGTCATTAAGGATGTCATTGATGAGAATATGAGAAAGAAACTGATAGGCTTTTGCAAATGATTTTCTAACAAAGACCACATCTTCACAGTCATACGATTGACTAAGAGGCGCAGAGACTACAAAATCTGATACATCCATTGTTGATTACAAAAAATTATTAGACCCAACGGAGCAAAATGTGGTCTTATTCATCATACATCAAGGTCATCCAAGATTACCTTGATAGAGGCAATAACACAGAGAACTTTGTCCAACAATCTTCTCATCCTTAATATGGACTAAGGTATACAACAGGGAGATGTATGCTCACTGAAAGTTTTGGACATTGTACTGGAGGATGTCTAGAACATAGTCCAAATGAAAAAGGGATTCCCTATAGATGGTGAGGTCTCTCAGATGCTTCTGGTTTGAGGATGACATTATGCTGATTGTGCCATGTCTGGATCCACAGTTACACCAAATAGATTGGTCTAATGATTACAGGAGACAAAACCAAATAGATGAAGAATGCCCAGATCATGGTATGAAACTGGATAGGTGACCTATTGAGTTAATCCAATGATACCTATATTTTGGTGGATAGGTACTGCAGACGGACAATGGCCTGGGCCCAGAATTAAGGGCGAAGAGGAGAATGGAATGGGAAATTCCATTACAGTTTGGAAAATCATGATGCGTTTGTAATGATTTCAAGCTGTTCTCTGACTCAAAAACCCATTTTTCTCTGCACTGATATTCTCTCTTCTCTTGAGCTATGAACCATAGAACAGTATCATCTCTAAAGAATCAGAATGGTGGGTGATGGAAAGGGCAATAGAGACTTATGATGGATATAAACAGGTCACATCATGCTACCAATTATGATTTTAAAGGAAGTTATCAAGGGTGAGGTATCCAGGGCAAGGGATAGATAGTTCAGATGCTGTCCTGGTACCCACAGAATGCTCCAAGGCCTAGAGGAAGGCTACCGGCATGTAGGGTAGATATTCTATGAAGAATTTATGGGATGATATGGATAAGAATCGCCTGGGATAAGAATTAGATGAGAAGTGATTTGCACCAGTAAAGAAAGTACCCACTTCAATGAGATAAAGAATCCATGAAAGTATTATCATTATCATCATCATTAGTTAATTACTCTTTTTTTTTAGGGTGTATCCATGTTTATTTCTCTCAAACTGGGCAGTATGCATGCGTCCATGCGTGGGAGCCAGTCTGGAACCGAGGTCCTCATTAATTACTCTTATTCTACAACAGCCACCACCAGGCTGGGCCTTTGTCACTCCTTGACAACCTGGGGTCTACTCGATCCCCAGATACTCCTCTGCCACTTTAAAAACAAAAGTCAATTTTTCCCTGAGTGGCAACAGCTAGGTGTCAGGGTGGGCACACTGTGAGACTGGGAGTCAGGAAGACCTGAGTTCAAGTCTTGACTCAGACACAAGTCACTAAACCTCTCTGTGGCTAATTTCCTCATCTGTAGAATGGGAATAATAATGGCACCTACCTCTCAGGGCTGTTGTGAGGCTCTAATAAGGTAAAATATGTAAAGCAAACTTTAAAGCACTATATTAAGGCTGGCTATTATTATTATTGGTCTATTATTAGAAATTCTCTTTTGCCTTTCATCCTCACCCCCAAACACGTGCCCTGATATCAATCTCAATGTCAAATAGTTTTATTGCCTGTTTTCCTCTTGAGGGCACTTAGACCAATACCCCCCAGGCCAGGAACCCACCCAACCCCACGGATCCCACTTCATACAAAGCTGAGTCTTGTCCTTTAAGCGTAAGGGCTGGGGAGGGGAGTTGACTGAGGCACTTGGAGACTGACAGCTGTAACTAGGGAAGCGAAGCCCCAGCAGGAGTAGGGAGGTCCCAGTAGCCTTGCAGCGGGAAGACCCCAGACTGGTACCTTTCCCTAAGCAGCCCGACAGGGGCAATGAGGTTACTTCTGGTCCCCCAGGACTTCTGGTCAGATCTTGCTGGTCCCTATTCCTAATGTCACTAAGGCCATCCCGGTTACAACGTCACATCCTGTGACCCCAAGGGGGAACATTAAGAAAAGCACCAACCAAGGAGCTGCCTATCAGGGTGGAGATGTTGAGTTGGGGCTGGGGGGGAGTCAGTCAATGAGATTAGGGGTCCCTGCCCTGAACCACATGTTCGAGGCCCTGCCCCGACAGGAGAAAGGGAGGGAGGAAGAGAGGAGGTGGGGCCTGGGTGTCGGGGTGGGGGGTGGGGGGGCCTGGTCCAGGGGTCAGCAGTGTCCACCAATTGCCCAGCAGCCTCCGGCCCTCCTAGCTGCCTGTCGCTCCTTCGGGGCTGTCCTCTGGAGCTGGGCTCGAGCCTGAGGGGGAGACACACATTTTTGCTGCGATCTTTCCCCCAACCTTCCTCCCCACCCTTGGCCTGACTCTGAAGCTCAGAGATACCCAGATCCTTAGAGCTGGAAGGTTTATTGTTGCATGGCTTGCCCAGGAATCTCTTCTACCACATGACAAGTGGCCATACAAGGCCTTAAGTAATGAGGAATCCATCACCTCATGGGGCAGCAGCTCTTGTCACTGCTATCATTATTGTTCTGCAACAGCTCTTCACCTACTTGGAAATAACTATCACATCCTCCATCAGTCTCCTCTTATCCAAGCTAACTAGCCCCAGTTGATCCTCTCGTGGTGAGGTGTCTGACAACCTACAACCCCTGACCTCTGGCCCCTGTACATAACTCCTTTTTTTTTGTGAGGCAATTGGGGTCAAGTGACTTGCCCAGAGTCACACAGCTAGTGAGTGTTATGTGTCTGAGACCACATTTGAACTCAGATCCTCCTGACTCCAGGGCCGGTGCTCTATCCACTGCGCCACCTAGCTGCCCCTACGTAACTCCTTCTTGGCTGTTCTGGCCCAGCTAGATATTCTACTTCCTCCCAAACCCCTCTTATCTCAAGTACTCACAGGACGTTTAGGCACGCAGGAAATCTGAGGGGGCTCCCACTGGCCATCCTCAAGGCACCGGATCAGGGGAGAGTTGCGCTGGGCCAGCCCTTCCTGGCAGTGATAGCGAAGCACATCATCTACTTCATAGCGGGACCTTGGCCGGCCAAAGACCAGAGCCAAGGGCAGCTCTGGGGGTGGTCCGCAGGACACTAGGAGGAGGAGATTGTGAGAGGCAGTCAGGGAGGGTGAGTCCTGGCTGGGACCAGTGGTAGCTCCCACAGCTGCAACAGGGACAACATGGGACAACTGGGAACACCACCCAGACACATACCAAGGGGCTCCAAGGGGAGCCCAAATCACACTGATTGATAACTAGCTGTCCCTCTTTTCCCTTCCTGGGTCAGGTTGCTAGCTCAGTACAATCAGTGCCCCAACCACAAGGTTAGTACAGCATCTCTAATCACCATGATATTTATTTATACTTATTTGGTTGGCAATCAATCATTCTGCTATCCCCAGTTCTAGCTCCTCACCCTAGTATGCCCAAGCCCCTACCCCTCTCCAGCTGGTCCCATCCCTCTTCACCTCTCCCTCAGCGTCTTTCAGCCCCCTACTTCTATCCCCCTGTGTCCCCAGCTCCCTGCCCCTCTCCTCTAGTGCCCCCTAGCCCCTTGACCCTCTTCCCCACGGTTTCTAGTGCCTCTCTTCTCAGCCCTCATCCCTCTCTCCCCATTCCACTCCCTCTGGTCTTTCCTCACCCAGCCCCATCTTGCAGGTATAGGACAGGTGGTAGTTGCAGGGAACATCACTCCACTGTCCCTGGTCATGCCAGACCATGACCACACAGTTTTCTCCAGATAGGAAGTAGCTGTCTGGCTGCCCTGGGTTCCAGTTCTCATAAAGCTAAGGAAGAGAAGAAAGAAGGAGGACATCCGTGGGACACTGAAGGAAGCTAAGAGCTGAGGGGAGAGGGACGGAAGCTGGGGGACATTTACGAATAAGGGCAAGGATTTGGAAGCCTTGGGAGAGGGCAGGAGCTGGGGGACATGGTAGTGAGAGGAGCTGGGGAGATATTAAGAGAAAAGAACAGGGGCTTAGGGGCACTAGGGGAGAAGGTGATGCCTGGGAAGACACTAGGAAAGAGGGACAGGAGCTTTGGGGCATGGAAGGAGAAATCTAGGGACTGGGGTACAAAGGAGAAGGGTAGGGGCTTGAAGGAGACATTAAGGGAAGAAAAGGCTGGAAAGAAACCAATATGTGTATGTGAAGACTTGGTTCTCCTCTCACCAAGGGAACTCCATCTGACCACAGGAAATCTCCCTCAATGGTTCTGTCGTTCAGCCCAATCCATTGGTATTCTCTGTATTGATCTAGAGAAGAGACAGATAACAGAGATTTTAAGAATGAAGCCTGCAGTGCTTCTACAGACCAGCAGAGGGCACCATTTCTCCGTTAGAACAGCACACTACATTTACCACTAGGCGAAGTTCCTTCTGATCCTTCCTACTACCCCTCTTCCCATTCTTCCCTATATGAGAGTGGGACCCAGCTAAAGGTAAATGGGGAAATGATAGTGCTTGAAGTCTGGCAATCAGGGATGCAGAAATGAGGTTATAAAACTGTTCGGAGGAGGCAGCTAGGTAGCGCAGTGGATAGAACTACAGCCTTGGAGTCAGGAGGATTTATGTTCAAATCTGGCCTCAGACACATAACACTGACTAGCTGTGTGACCCTGGGGAAGTCACCAAACAAGCAAACAAACAAACAAAAAACCCTGTTCAGAGTATGAAAGAAAAGGAGGTGGGGATTTGACCCTAGAAAAAGAAGGAAACTTTTCAACAAAGCCAAGAGTTCTGCAGGACAAACTGGAATATAAGAGTGAGACAAGGAAGACTAGATGGCAGGAGAAGCCAGAAGAGCTACAGCCAATAAACTCTGGGGTTCAATCTCTAAAGTCCCTTTCCCAGCTCAAAAATCTATTATCTTATGAGCTGCTTTTCTATGGCTTAGCAGATGTAGTATCACTTTCCTTTTTTGTATATCTTCTAAGCCATAGGAAAGCTGTTCATATAATAATAGATTTAGAGGATAGAAGGCATTAAAGAGGCAAACCTCAGTTGCACTGGTATAATAGCAGAATTAGGGTTTGAACTAGGTCCTCTGACTCAAAATTCATTGTATGCACCATCAAATTGTAACTCAAAACACCTAATTTCTCATCCTGGTAGCCTGTTCCCCAAGAGGAAAGAGAAGGGAATATATTTATAGTGAGGGATGAGGCATGAGGAACATGAAAATATCATAGGTATCCTGGATTTGGACTTTTTCTCTTCTTCTAAAATGTGGCATTAGAGGGAACAAGGCTTAGAGACCGGGGAGCAAGCTCTGACAACCAGAAAACAGGGGGAAGGGGAAGAAGTACAAATATGCAGGAATGATAGAAAATATAGAGTTCCTGATTCACTGGGGGGGGGAAGAGAGTGGGGGAGGAGAGGAACTGGCAGACCACCTGGGAGTGATTCAATGTGGTAACCAGAAAACCATGGTCAATTATTCAAAATATGGATGCAGGGCAATCAGGTTCAAAGTAGCAGAGCTAGAAATGAAACCAGGTCCCATGATTAAATTCTGAGCACTTTTCACTGTATCAGTATGGATGTTACTTCTATATGCCAATAGTGGTATATTTTCACTATCACAATGTAAGACAGGAGAATGTTAGGTGCAAATCACAATTCATATACTTACTGGTTGTGTGTTCACAGGCAACCCACTGAAAACACTATATAAATGTCAGTATTTTTTGCCATCAGGAGTAAGTATATTTTGGTTTATTTCAACATGATCAATAGCTCCAAGCCAGGGCTGACCCCTGGAGCTTTGGTACAATGTTATGGCCAGGCTCAGTTTATATAAGGGCACAGCATTCCTGATCCAGCCCGGTCACTGGGGCTTCAGGAAGGACATTTCTGTTTTCAGCACCTTGGAAAGCACAGGGCACACGTGTGTTTGTTTAATGCGTTAATACCCCAGTGGCTCCCCAAAGTCCACCAGGGCCCCCTCATCCCTGCCCACAGGGGCCTAGCTTACTGTTGATGAAATTCTGCTCCTCAGGTGTGCTGATGCTGGCTAAGTGGGCTCCATGAATCCTGCATTGAGTTTCAGCCTCCTCCCAGCTCCTCCGAGTTGAAAAATGCTTGTAGCAAGAACCCTGGAAGGCATCCCAGCCTGAACTGCAGGATCGGAGTCCTGAGGCAGAAAGGGGAGTGAGGTCAGATGGAAGGGAAGAGGGTAGAAGAGCATCTCTTGCCTCTACTGGGGGTTATTGCTGCCGGCCAGGAAGGCTCAGTTTAGCTACCATCTCCTCCACAAAACCTTTCCTTATTTTCTTGGGAGGTATAAAGGCATTCTCAAAACTCAAGCTCCTTCCCTTTCTCAGTAGGAAAGGTGAGAGAGATAAAGAAGTAGGTGAGGCTGCTTAACAAGTTATCCAAGGCATGGTAGGAGGAGTGGGAAAAGCAGGTGGCCCTGATCCTACCCTACCCTGCCCCCCTCCAAGTTGACAGCAATTGAAATTCCCTCCTAAAATTTTCCTAGAATACTTTTTTTCTGGATTTCTCTTTATCTTTTAATCCAATTGGATTGTAAGCTCCTTGAGTCCAGGAACTATCTTTTGCTTCTTTTTGTATACCTAGTGCTTAGCAATGTGCCTGGCACATAGTAGGTGCTTCAATAAATGTTTATTGATTGATATCCATCACACTGTACCTTGTATTATATTTATGCATATATACATCATAAGCTCCCCAACAGCAGGGAGCATTTTGTTTTTAATTTTTGTATCCTCTGTGCCTAGCTGCCAGGGCTATAGGGCACATGGCCAATTAACCAATTTAATATAATTCAAGACAACAGCACTTATTAAGTGCTTACTTAAGCACTGTGCTAGGGGTTAGGGCAGGGATAGGGAACCTGCAGCCTTGAGGCCACATGTGGCCCTCTAGGTCCTCAAGCTCAGCCCTTTGACTGAATCCAAACTTCACAGAACAAATCCCCTTAATAAAAGGATTTGTTCTGTAAAACTTGGATTCAAGTCAAAAGGCCGGACCCGAGGACTTAGAAGACCACATATGGCCTTGAGGGTGCAGGGTCCCCACCCATAGGTTAGGGGTGCAGATGTTTGTTGAAGTGATGTGAATTGATGCAGTGACAGAGTTACAGAGTCCAAGGACTAGTGAATATAGAGGTCGGGGTACCAGAGAGGAAAGCGGGAACAAGGACACACTTTGAGGCTCTCAGATCCTTTCTCTTTCCAGCCTTGTTCCTTGACTTATCTTCCCCTAACCTCCAAGATGAGACAGGCCTCCCTGCTCTTATATTGTGGGAATTTGAGGTCTGGATCAGTAGGAATAAAAACTCTAGATCCTGGGGCTCTCAAGATTTATCCTTCTATCCCTTATCCTTCTAGAAACTTAGAATACAGGCTGGGGGAAGGGGTGTGGATCTCATCCTGAGTAGACCCCCTAATAGTTGAGTTGACTCTTTTGTCCCTTCCCGTCTCCACTCACCAATCTCGCACAAGTTCCCCCCATAGCCGGGAAGACATAAGCAGTGGACACCATCACCCTCCTCGTAGCATGTCCCCCCATTGTGACAGGGGCTGGGCACACAATCACCTGCAAAGGGGCAGAGGCATGAGACATGGAAATTGTGGTCTAAGAGTTCAGGCATCTGTAGGCGATCTCAAAATACAGGTAAGCTCCATCCCAGAATACGGCCTTGGCCATACCCAAACCTCCTCCCTGTCCAGAGCTCTCATCTTTCTCCTCCTCCCACCACCCCCTAGATCCTCATGCCCAACCCCTGAACCAGTACCAGGCTTGGATAGGATTGGTCCAACCCAGACCCCAAGTCTGTCCTCCCATTCCCACTGAGACCAGGACCAGGCAGTGGATAGAAGCCACAGGAAGGGGGCATGTACTCCTCCCCACAATCTAACTTTCTAGAAGTGGCCAGTTAGAAAGCCCTGCAGGTTCCCCTGGTCATCCTCTTTTGGTTCCCAGGTATTAAAGTTCACAAATCCCACTGAGCCTGGGATTCAATGTGGTAATTGCTGGGTGACTGAAGGCAGGAAGAACGACAACGGTCAAAGCCTCAGAGGAGAAATCTGACTTCCCCCTTTGTCTGCTTACAGTATCAGCCTGTTCTGGAGGCCACTGGAATCAAGAATTCAAACCCAGGAATTCTCAGATATTATGTCCATTCCATCCCTTCCCTGCTTAATATTGCTGGACCCTTGACCCTTTGTTCTCCAGGACTCCTTTTCATACTCTTCACTCCTGCTAGAGGAAGCTGCCCTTGACCTCATTCCACATCACAGCTCTTTCTCCCAGTCTTCTGTTATACAAGATTCTGTACGCCTTCCTTTTCCTTTAGTTCTCCTCCTTCCCAACACTATTCCATATTCCCTTCCCCCAAGAAGCCTTCCCAGCCATCACTGCCATCCCCCATCCAGCGCTATCTCTCCCCCAAGGTGACATCTAGAATGCTTACTGACATGGCCATCTGTTCCAATCTCTGTACCTGGTGTAAAGTGGCAGAGGATTCCGTTTTCCCCATCAAAGTAGGAGCTTCCTGAGGACAGAGAATCTGTCTTTTCCCAGAGATTGGGAACTTTCTGAGGGTTGGTACTGTCTTCCTCATCAAACTGTTGACTTCTTAAGGGCAAAATCCAGTCCTCTTCCTTCTTCTGGATCCTTCCCACCCTTTGCCTTCCCCCCACCCCAAATCCTAGGCCATTTATCTGCTAATAAAGGGTTCCCAAGATATAAATAGGAGATGAGAAGGACTGAATGATCAAAACACAAGTCAACAGAGCTTATTTTCTTTTTTTTTCTTTTTAGACAACTGGGGTTAAGTGACTTGCCCAGGTTCACACAGCTAGTAAGTGTCAGGTGTTTGGTCTGAGGCTGGATTTGGACTCAGGTCCTCCTGACTTCAGAGTGGGTGCTCAATCCGCTGTACCACCTGGAGCTTATTTTCTTGAAAGGTCTCAAAGCACCTTCTTTCAGAAAAGATGTGTGGGAAACCAGGGAATAATCAAAGATGATGAACAGGATAACCAAGGCAAGGTTGTTGCAAAGTAGGTAGAGCAAGTGGTTCCTGGTCATAGAGCTAGGCAAAAGGTGATCCCTACTGTCCAGTGGTTCAGGGATCTGTGCTCAGGTAGCCTTGTCCCCACTGGCTGGCTGCCTGCCTGCAGGGAAGCTGAGTAAAAGTGATATTGATGACATCAGGGTTAATCTAGTTCACATTTTCTAGAATGAATAGAGGTTTACAAAGCACTTCTCAACAACCCTATGAGGAAGGTTATTATAATTATCCTTAAACCCATTTTGCAAACGGGAAAACTGGACTGAAGTTCCAGCTTTGCCACTTCTAGCTGTGTGACCTTGAGCAAGATGCAGGTCATCTCAGAGCCTATTTCCTCATTTATAAAATGGTGAAAATTCCTATCTATATCATATAGCTATTATGAAAAAAGTATTTTGTAAATTCTGAAGTGTTATAGAAATGTGAGATATCAAACCGTATTCCCAAAGGCACACTGCCAGTGGACCTGAGCTGGCATTAGAACCCAATCTCCTGAACAGAGCCAGAGCTCTTTCCATCACATCAGATCATCTCTCTGGACCACTGCAGAATGTACGACCTTGGACGAATTCCTTCCCTCTTTGGGCCTCAGTTTCCTCAACTGTAAATAAAGGAGTTGGCCTAGATAATCTCTCTTCTCCATGCCAGTTCTAAATTTATGATCTTTTTAACATCCCCTATCTCACCCGCTGCAGTCTCAGTCACTTCTTAAAGTTCCAAGTCTACATTATAAAGTGGAACTGTAACATCCTCTACAAAGGAGTTTGAGCTCATAGAGTTAAGGACCAGCAGGACCCTACCATCTCCACGGTGAGAGTGTACATAGAGGAAATGTTCCCTACTGCATTGATTAGTTCTATAGCATGACAACAAAGGGCCTGGGGAAGAAGCAGAATTGGTTTAAATAACTCCTGGAATGACAAGGCTAGTTCTGGAAAAAGGATTCAGCTGATCCAGTCCTATACCTCTCTATCCTCCCTCTACTAATCCAACCGTATTGGTTTCTCCCAATATGGTCTGTGCTGCCCCCTGGAGGGGATGGTCATTTCTTATATTAACTCCTTAAGCATCAGGTCAGGCAAAGGTTGTGAAGGGATGACCCTTGATTACTATAGCAATACTCTGGCACAGCACCCTTTCCTACAAAGAACCTTCAGATGACTCAGTGTGTTCTCCACCTCCATTTCTAGGAGGACTTTCTTCATCTTCCAAGTGATCTAGGTTCCATATCATCTTCTTCCCCTTTTACTCTGTCCCTTATCTGGCAGAGAGATGAAAGACATCTGTCTTTTCCATCTTTCCTACTCCCCTAATCTCCTGTTCCTGGTAATCCAAATTCCTGACAGTAGAGAACTGCTTCTTGCTATTTAATTATCATCTCTCCTGCTGCCTAGCAGCTCTTTCCCAGACACAACATGGACAGGGAGCATAGGAAAACTTCAAAGGGACAGCTCTCTGCCCTCTTCCCTCTAAAAAAAAGTGAGGATCATCACGAAGATGAAGGGGAGAAAGCCTGGAATTGGAATTAATTCCAGGGTCTAAAATAGGGAAAACGTGCCAGTCCACTTCCACCCCAACCCCAGTCCCGTACTTCTGAAGAGACCAGGAAGCAGGGTGATTGACGTAATGACCTTAATGACCTTTCATCCTGAATTTCTGCCATCCTGTGTATTTGGGTGGTAGGGTGTGTTCTCCTTTTCCTTTCTCTCCAATTCCCCAACTATCTCCTTCTCCCACAGCTTCAGTTCTCTCTCCCTCAAGGGCTCCCCCCATACACTTTGTACGTACATAAGCCAAATGAGTGCTTTGAGTTCACTACGGGCTAGAAAGAGGGCATAAACTCACTGAACTGAGAGAAGAAAGTTATTAGTAATAAGGACTGGGGTAGTGTAGATGGGAAATCTGGGAGGGGAATGAAATGCTGATTGTGGATACCAACATATGCTGCTAGGATACAACACTGATACTAGGGAAGAAATGGGAGGCCCTGTTCTGGTTTAGCATGCTAATGTTGGCTCTCTCCAGGGGCCCAGGAAAAAGTCTCTCCTGTGAAATTGTCCCTTTAAACAGGAAGGGCTCTCTAACTCATGCTTACATCTACATTGGAGTGACTTAAGTCATTGGGAAATAGAAATCTCCCCCCATCCCCACCATGTCTGCCAACCTTTATTGACTTCTCCCAACTGGGAGTGAGGTAACATGTTCCTTTGCTTCTTTCCCCTCACCACACACGTTTCCAAACTAGTAATAAATACTCTTGGGTAATGGAAAGGGTCAGAGTTGGGACTTTGGAAGGTCAAGTGAGAGACAGTTAGTGTAGACATGGCCTGGGGTGGGGTAGGAATGGAATACTGGTGGAGAAAATGAGAACACAGTATGGGGGTGTTAGAACACGGACTGGGGGCAGAGGTAAAGAGGCTGATGAGATAAAAGGAGAAACATAAAGAAAACAGGGAATCAAAGTCAGCCACTGAGAGAAATAGAGCCAGAGGCAGACAGAAAAAAAACCTAGAAAAATAGAATGCTTCGTAGAGCAGAGGAGACAAAAAAGCAGAGATGGAGAGAGGCAGAGGTAGAATGACAGATAGAAAAAGGCAGAGAATAAAGGAAAAGACAGAAACGGAGAAGCAGACAAAGGGTAGAAAGGGAGACACAGAAGCTAAGAGTGGGAAAAAGAGACAGAGCCAAAGACAGATAAAAACAGACAGGCAAAAAGACAGACAGAGACAAGATAGAAATAATTCTTTAGAGAAAAAGGAGAGATAGATTGGGGGAAATGGAGACAGAGGGACCCGGAGTTTGGTTATAAATTGGTTTTAATTGAGATTTATTTCTGAGGCTTGTTTTCCATGAAACAGTCATAAAAATACTTCACAGAAGTAGTGTCAATTAAAGCTCCTGGGGGAGGGGTTTGTTCCCTGGGACTGAGAGAAGGGGCTCCAATCCAAAGGGGCTCCAATCCAAAGGCTTCCCTGATATCATTCAGAATGAGACATATGGTTCAAAGAAAGGGAGTGGGAGTACATGGAGAGGGAGAAATGGAAGACAGGAGTAAAGGAAAAAAACTGGGAGACCGGAAAAGAAAGGACACTAAATTTAGGGGAAGGCTGAGGGGCAGGAATAGAAGTCACAGATTAGGTAGGGTGGTAGGAGTTACAGAGTGAGGAGGTCTTGGGCAAGAGGAGGGTTTCAGAAGGGCAGAGCTGGGGAAGTCAGAGGGGGTAAGCTATTGAGGGCCTGGAGAAATGACAAGAAGGTCTCAGAGGGAGACAGGAGGGGAACCACAAAGGCAGTAGAAGGAAGTGCACCAAGCCTGGAGTGGGGAAGAGGAGAATTACAGGGGGGCATGGAAAAGAGGTATGGTGCTCTTGGGATAAGATAAGGGTCCCAGAGTGGAAAGGTGAGGATAGAAGAGTAATCACAGGGACAGGAGCAGGTAGAAGGGGGATCACAGGAAACTGGCAATGGTAATGGAAGGAAGATTACAGAGGGAGACTGGAGAATGGAGGGTGGGGTGGAAACAGTCACAGAAGAACTTAGTACTGTCTGGGAGGCTGGAGATGGGATGGGACGAGGGGCAGGTTAGAGGACAGCAGTCCAGAGCAGCAGAAGGAGGAGGGAGGCAGAGTAGTGGGTTGGATTACCTGGTGAGGGGGCTGCAGCCCCCGCAGCTCCCAGGCCTGCGCTCTCAGTGGGTAGCGCTGGCTGGGCCCTGACGGAGGTCTCCACAGGTGCTGTCCTTCCCAGAGCCTCTTCAGGGGGGGCCACCCTGTCCCCTGCCCCCTCCTTCCCCTCCACTCCTGGCAGTGTCCCAGTTGTTGGAGACAGACCGGGTGCCTCTTCAGAGCTCCCCACTTCATCACTTTCTCCATGAGGGACCCAGGGAGGAGTGCCGCCAGATAGCTCCGGTGCTCCGACCTCTTCCTCATCTTCTTCCTCAGTACCGACAGGTGTAGTGGGTGGAGGGGATGCTTGGCTCCCTTCCCCATGAGCCATAGCTCTAAGGGTTGGTAGGGTCTCGGTGGACGGCCCCCTGACTCTTGGATGCTTGGGCCCCTCTGGCTGCCCCCCAGGAGAGGGCATGGCACCATGATGCACAGACACCTGGGCCACCAGAGGGGCCTCAGACAGCCTTTCCTCATGGGGAGGCTCAGTAGAGAGGGAGCCATTCTCTATGGCTACTTCCCGGATCTCACTTAGTACCGGAGAAGGAGCTTCATCTTCCACTTCCTCCTCCTTTTCTCCCTCCTCTTGTCCCTCCTCATCCTCTTCCTCTATTACCTTCTCATCTTCCTCCTGCTCCTCCTCCTCAGAAGACGGCATGGGCGGGGTAACTGATAGGTCTCCATCCTCTGAACAAATGAAAGTAATATCAGGACCATGGACAGCATTCTAGGGTGGTTAGACTAAAGAGGAAAGGGAGACCCAGGGAATTCTCAGGAACCCAGGGAGAGGACTGTGGACTAGGGAGGAGAGAATTGTGGGTCACAAGGGGAGAGGGGCTTTGGAGACACTGGGTGGGAGAGCACCTGAGAAGAGTCAGGAAACTGAGGGGTCTCAGGGGAGAGGAGAAGGATGGGCAGGGTGGGTTGGACACTGGAATAGAGTCAAGGGAACTGTTGGACCCTGGAGGAGAGGAGAGGGGCTGGGAGACACTGAAGAAGATGAAAGAAGATTGGGGGACCTTGAACTTGAGGTGAGGTGATGAGGAGGCAACTGGTACATGAGTAAATATGACTTTCTCTTCCTTTCTCCAATTCAGCACTTTCTATGGTGGAGGGGAAAAGGAAGAGGTGCCAAAAAAAAGGGAAGCCTCTCTTTCCCAGCCAATATCTTCTTAGGTTAAGAATCCTCAGATCCTTCCAAACCAGACCCATACAAGCTCTTTGTCTCTGTCCAAGAACACCATCTTATCAGCAGGAGGGATAGAGGCTGAGGAGGGCAGGTAGAGATGCTGGAAAAGTAAATTTCCTTTAATTTCTGAGTTGGGAGACAGAAGAGATGTCATCCGATCTTAGACTTGGCCAAAGGAGGGGTTGTGTGGCACAGATGGAGTGGTAGGGATAGGTGCACCTCAAGAGCACTCCATTGATGAAAGCTCTAGTCTCTACATCACCTTTACCCTTTCATCCCATTGCAACTTGTGAGGCATAAAGAAGGATTTACCTAGGAATATCTTGGGGGCCTCTTCAGGGTCCTCTGGGGTGGAGCTAATTCCCCTGCTGTCCTCTGAAATGGGGACAGAGTAGATGGCTCCTCGAGACTCACTTTGTGTGGCCTCCTGAAGTAGCTGAAGTTCCTGAAGGGTCTCTGTCACTGTGACAATGGTCTCCAGCCCATCTGAGGCTGGATAGGGATTCCTCGGGGAGACAGAGGATTGAGCAGGGTCTGTAGGAGAGTGAGGAAGATCATCATATGGCACATCTGGGTTTGAATGGGTGGGCTGGATAAGGATTTCCTCCATCCTTAGCTACCCTGGGCCCCTGATACAGAGGTATCCCTAGGGCATAGTTAGTGCCTTGCACAGATGAGACACTTGATAAATATCAAATTGAGTTGAACCAAGGAAGTGCCCAAAGATTAATTTGTACCATGTAATCCTACTCTACTGTATGTGAAGTAAACACATGTGTTAGTAAACCAGACAGTTTTGATAAAGTGGAGAGAGTCCTCAATTAGGAATTAGAGAATTTAGGTTCAAATCATGACTGCATCATCTTGGACGAGTCATTTCCCCTCTCTTAAGTGAAGAAAGAACACCACTAATCGGTATCTACAGAAAGAATTTATTGAGAGAAAAGATTCTATCATTACAGCAGGAGAGATGGTAGTAAGATCATAGAAAGGACTTTCTAAAAGTCAGAACTAGAGGCAATCTCAGAGTTGGGGAAGGAAGGTAGAGACAGACCCTCTTAAGGATCTGGAAAATCATAATCCTTCCTCCACCATGGAATGGGCTGAGGATAAGGGAGTGAGTACAGTTGGGTATAAAGGAAGTGGAAAGGACATAATGATCTCAGGGAGGTGAATGATAACATACCTGCCCCTACTGCTCTTCAGGACTCCCCTTATTGGAAGAACCAGAGGGGCTGGAAATGAGTCATTTCAGACTCAGAAAGGAACAGAGGGAAGGAGAAAACCAATGAAGTGGGATTCGAAAAAAAGCTAAGAAAAGAAAGACTTCATTATCTCTGTCCTGCCCTCACCTTGACCCTTAGACCATCTCCCCACCCAGCCAGGCGAGACAGGAACAGCACGTCTCCTTACCACCTGCTTATAGCTCCACTCCAAACTTGATATCTCCCTCCCTTGCCAGGCTCATCTAGGTCTTGTCCTTTCCTCTCCCTGCATTTCACCTTTACATAGCTGTTCCTTCAACCTTGGATAACTTCCTCCCCTCCTCCTTGCCCAACCCATCCATCCTTCCCCTCCTCAACTCTGCTCCATTCTTATCTTCCTCAAGGGTGACTCCTTTGACTGACCCCTCTCAATCAGGACTCCACTTCTGAAAACTCTCCCCCATCCTTCTAGTACAGAATCATCTGCCCTCATTTCTGTCCCTGGATTTGTGTCTGTGTCCTAAGGGTGCAGGCTGAAGGCCCAGCAAGAGCAGGGACTATGTCTCCCCATTTAAACCCAGTGCCCCTTGAAGACACTTTCTGTTATTACACTTGGGGATTCCATAAAGGCAGAGGCATTCTCCCTCATCAGATGGAGGATAGGGAAGGTGACCTCTATTTTAATTCTCCTTCTTTGCCCAGCTGTAGACTATAGACAGGAGGACTAAGGAATGGAGAATGAGGGGCTAGAAGAAAACTAAGAGATACCTTCCCCACAGAACACTTTTTCCTGGGACTATCTGTTACACTTCCTTCTCTTTGACTTTGGTCATACTGGATCTATTCTCTGGTTGGAGTCCTTCCGACATCTATTCAGGGGTCATAGAGACTTGCCTCCTACCTGCACACTAAACACCTCAAGTCCCGTCTGACGGGGTCCTTAACTCTTTCACCTCCATCATTTTCTCAGTTTTTCATAATTCCTGTTACTTTCTAGTTCCAGGCACCATATTTTAGGAAAGATACTGACAACCTAGAGCAAGTCCAGAGGAGGCTGACTAAGCTAATGAATGGCAATCATATTGTAAAGGAAATAGCAATTTTTATCTGGGGGAAGTGAAGCTTTAAGGAAACCATTATTTCAGTCTTTAAATATTTTAAGAACTCCCACAAAGAAGGATTACACTGATTCTGTATATCTCCAGATTGTAGAACCAGAACCAATGGGTGGAAATTTCAGAATGACAGATTTTGCTTTAACACAAAGAACTTTCTAGCAATCAAGGCTATCCAACAATGGAAAAGACTACCCAAAGTGGCAATGAACCAACTTCCTATTCTTTAAAAGTGCTCAGAAGCTGGATGATTACTTGTAAAAGATGTTATAAAAAAGACTCATCCATTGGAGAAACTCTAGCCTCTACCCTCACAGTATTTCAACTCCAAAATGATATGACTCTTTGTAAATCTGGATTCTGGAAGACATCTGAATAATCCTAGGGGCACCTAAGCTAGAAGTGACAAAAGAGAATGGAGGAGTAGGCAGGACTGGGAATCTGGACCATCAAATACAGTATCCCCTGTTGGACTCACAGTATACTAATCATTTTTGCTCTTACAAATGATCTAAGACCCAAAGGCTCCTCCCCTCAAGCAGGAAACATTTTGGATGGTCCAAAAGGGGGCAGGCATTTGGAAATAGTAAGATATTGAGAGTCTGTATATACCCTCAGAGGGTATATACAGAAGGTCATGCAGGGAAAAACTGGGGTTGTCACAGAGGTCATTATGAAGACCAGGCCTAATAGGAGACTAGACCAATAGGTGATGAAGACAAGCTTCATCAAAGGATGGATCTACTTATCAACCCACTAGTAAGGATGTTTCAGGGAAACCTGAGAGGTCAGAGAGAAGGTATCTTGTATAGTAGAAAGGACAATGGATTAGATATTCAGAGATGAATTCTAATCTTACCTCTGTTACTTACTACCTGTGTGACTTGGAGTCATTTAAACTCTCTGTGCCTCAGTTTCCTCCTCCATAAAATTAGAGATCTAAGTGGTCTAGATGATCTAAAACTCAGATTTCTTGAAGGTATATGTTGTTTCTTTTTTTGCCTTTTTGTCTCTAGCCCGTAACAAGTGTATCCTTAGCACCAGAGTGTATTCTTACTTTTTTGCTGTGTTTCTGCCCTCAGTCTCTCCCTGTATCTTTCACTATATATTTTTTCCCTTTCTAAGTCTTTTCATTCTCCTGCATCTCAGTTTCTTTGTATGTATACTTAAGCTGATGCTAAATGCTTGTTAAAATATATTGAATCCTAAGGTAATGATTCCTAAGTTCACAATGAAAACAATTTTTAAAATAAAACACAATTCTAAGGATTCTTCTACTTCTAACAAAGCATGAATTTAGGAAATGGGTCAGAAAGAAGGCAGGACTACCAAAGTCGTGAGAGACTTCTAGGAGGGACAAAGGCGGCTCTAAGTTAGGGTGGGCAGATAAACCCCACCCCAGCTGAGGGATCTTTGGGGCCAGATATGGAAGGGCCTTCTTCACCTGGAGGCCAGGGACCAGGGAAGACCCAAAAGGTTCAGTGCAGCTTCAGAGCAGGTGTTCAGTGCAATCCTTCTCAGAGCCTGACGGAATGAGATGGAGACAGGTTCTGGGAGGCAGTAAGAATCCCATCCAACAACCCTAGAAACAGTGCCAGCCTAAAGCGGCCTGTGGCTGTGGGTCTGGATAACTCTAGCATCAGCATGCCATCTAACTCAGATGGCTAAAAAGAAAGAAGAGAGCTGAGGTCTAGAACGGCCAGGCATTCTGCATTCAGAAAACACATTCTTTTAGTTTGTGTAATATGTTTCTCTTGAATTTCCTAGTGAAAATTCCTTTGGAAAGATTCCACCTTTGTCTCAGCAAAACTGAAAGAGAAAGGATTTTTTTCCATCGTTCTGGGAGAACAGGCCGGGGAGTCAGTGTGCAATGGAACTAGAGTAGCTCCAGGAGAGGCAGGTGGAACTGGAGCAGCTGGAATCTGGGAGAGGAAGAGTAGGGAACAGCTATGATGACACTCCCTTACCTGGAGCCATCCCCTTGGTCTTCCATCTCAAATTGTCTAGAAGTTTGCCCTTCTATCTAAGCTCTATTCCTCTTATTACACAACCAGTATGTTATACACACACACACACACACACACACACACACACACACCCCCCTTTCCTTTTCCCTTCCAGGTACCTCGGTGGGCTCCTCTTTCTTTCTCTTTCTGTCTCTGACTCTTTCAATCGCTGCCTGTTTTTTTTCTCAGTCTCCCTGTTCCTCTTCCTCTATGTATCATTCTCTATTTCCATCTCTACCTTCCTCCGTGTTCCTCTGGGTTTCCACTGCTATTTCTATCTCTGTCTCCAGCTCTCTTGTTCTGTTTCTCTGTCTCTATGTCTCTCTGTGTGTCTCTGTCTTCCTCCAGCTCCTTTTGCTTTTATTTCTTCTCATGTTAGTAGAGTGTGTCAGTCTGACCGTCTTTAGTTCTTCTATCTGATTGTTTTTCTCTTCACCTCTTTGTGTCATTGTATCTGTCCTTTTGTATTTCTCTATGCCTCTGTCTCTTTTTTTGTTGGTTTTTTCCCCTTAATCTCTCCTTGTATCTATTTCACTACTTACATTTTTTTTCTTTCTAAATCTTTCTTTTCTCCTGTGCCTCTGGTTTTTTGTATGTGAGCTTCCTTAGATCTCTTAGGCCCTATGCCTCTGTGTCTCTAGCCCTAAGGTGTAAGACTCTTAGGTAAGGCTCACCTCTGAAGCAGTAGACGTTGAAACGGCTGTGTGCATTAGGAAACCCAGTCTGATTAGGGAAGAGGAACAGTGTTTTGACACCAGGCAGGCCTCCCCCACAGCGCTGTCTGGGTGTGACAATAGGGTAGCGCACGCTGCCATCAGCAAGCCACCCAGGGCTACACCGGTCCAGGCCTTCATCCCAAGCTGCATAAAGTTGTCCTGTTGTGGCAATCTCTGCTCCCCGTTCCCAGCAATAAGCCCTTGCCTCTTCCAAGGTCAGCTTATCTGGGGTAGAGCCCAGAAACAGCTCACCTATGAAGCACAGGGAAAGAAGATAAGGTTACTAAGAGGTAGTAAGAAGCCTAGGCAGGGAAGTCAGGATTTAAAGCTAGAAGGAGTTTCAAAAATCATCTAATCTTGCTCCACTAATTTCATAGATGATGAAATTGAGGCCCAGGGAGGTATAGTGACTCGTCTGAGATGATACAGGCAGTTAGTTGGGATTTGAACCCCTGACTCCAACTCCAGGTAGAAACCCAGTTTGGGGGCTGTCCCCATTATAGATCTAACTTAGTGTATAACCCTCAGCAACTCACTCATTCAACTTACTTGGGTCTCAGTTTTTTCATCAGTGATATGGGATCAGTGAATTTAGAGCTAGAAGGGACTTGAGGACTACCCTCCCTTCCTTCTAGGGATGGCAAAAAGATATAATCACAGGTAGAAGGGGTCTTAGAGATCATTTGTTCTAGCCCCTTTATTTTATGGATGAGGAAACTGAAATCCAGACAGGGACAGGATGGATCCTGAAAGCCTCCCTCAGTGGTAACATGGGAATTTTCCACTGGGTAAGGGTCATCTCACTCCCTGGGGATTCTGAAAAGGGATCTTTCCCTTACTCACAAACCCCTAATCACCATTTAGATCTTCAGCATAGCAGTAAACATCATAGAGGTCCTCTGGATCCACCATGCCATAGTTACGAACTCCAGGGAATCCATCCATGTCTCCATAACAGGCCTCTCGGGGAGTCTGGATGGGATACCTGGGGAGAAAGGAGGACCCAGGGTAGTACCTGTGTGTGTGTGTGTGTAGGGGAGACAATCCCAGGCAACACACTCTTTCAGGATAGGAACTCTTATTACTTTTCCCCAGTTTCCCTAAAGCCCCTCCCCGCCAATGTCTCCCAACTCTTCTTAGGGTCCCCTTATCCTAAGTCTTATCAGTCTCATATCCTCTTACCTTACAGTCTGGTCTGATAGCCATCCTGCATCACACTGTTCATAGCCCCCAAGGTAAGCAGCATAGAGCTGCTCAGGGCTAGCAATTCGGGCCCCAATACGGGCACAAGCCTCTTTCGCATGGGAGAATGAGAAAGCATAGCGGGCAGAGCCCTCTCGGTACAAAAAGACGACCCCTAAAGAACAGAAAGGCCCCTGAATCCAAGTGTTCAGCCTACCCTTTCCATCACTTGCCTACCTCCCCCACCTTACTTAAGAATCAAATGAGATTTTTTATATATATATATACACACACATATATATATAAATAATAAAATATTTAAATTTTATTTAAATAAAAATAATATAAAAATTATATATGTATATGTATATATATGTGTATATATATATGTGTGTATATATATATATATATATATATATATATATATATATAAAACACCTTAGCATAGTGCTTGGCACATAGTAGGTGCTTAATAAATACTGGTTCCTTCCCTCTTCTCCCCATTACTCATTACTTCTGGGAGACAAAAACTAAAGACCAAAATCAGGTTATCCTATAGCAAGAAGGACTTAGGGTAAACCTCACACAGAAAGACCTTTCCATTAAGAAAAGGACTAGAGACAAAACTCTATCTACCCTTGTTTCTCTGCCCCCATTCCTTTGCCCCACCTCTTCTTCCACAAGACTTGGAGCTTCCTGAGAGCAGTGACTATGTCTCCTTCTTACACTACCCCCCCGCCCCAGCCTACTCAGCCTACAGGTACCTACTCACAAGGCTCTCAGGAGAGTGGAGGTGAGGGAGGAAGGTGTTCTCTTTGAGGTCTGACTTCTGCACTACTCACCTTTAACCTTGACCTCAATGGCATCACTGCCATCATCAATCCCATGTTGGACTTCACAACGATATAAGCCAGAGTCATTGGACCTCAGTTCACTCAGCACCAAGGAGACATCAGTGGTTGAGGCTGGATATCCAGGTAGAGCCACCCGGTACCTGTAGCCTTCACTGACCTTGACCTTGAGCCCACGAGCCACCAGCACCTCAGCCTCCCGACCCCCAGACAGGAAAGTCCATTTGACTCTGGGAGAGCCCAGGACAGCCCTGCGGCCTGGGGGAGGGGTTGGGGGTGGTGGCCTAAGGTAGGAGACGTGACAGGGGATAGTAATGGAGCCCCCAAGGACCCCTCGAAGAGGGGAGTCACCCCCAATGGACACCTTGAATGCCTGATCCTCTGCGGGGGGAAGGGAAAAAAAGAGAAGATGGATTCTTTTCATGTTGTAACCGGTCCCCCCCTCCCCTAGTGTTCCCCAGGCTCCTCCTCTCCCCACCAGTAAAACTCAGTCCCCTCAGTTCTTCTCTAGCATCCCTGCATTCTCCACCCCTCACCCCCAAGTCTCCTAAACACTTCCCAATTGTTACCTGAGCTGTCACCTGTGAAGGCCACAGATGAGGAAGTTAGGGCTTGGACCAAGGCAGTCAGGAGCAGCAGGAGCATCTGTGCCATGCCCAGGGATGCTATTGGGAGGCAGGAGAAGCACGTGGGATGCTGGTCTAACCTGAAGTCTAACTTGAAAGCCAACATTTTCCCTGATGGAGAGACCCTGCATACCACTTTTCCCCTGACTCACGTGTCTTCCTAAGAATACCTCCACTCCATCGTCGGAGTATCATTGGGGAAAGAGCACAAGATTTTGAGGCAGGAGACCTGGATTTAGATCCCAGTTCTACTAATTATGCCTGTGACCTTGGGTAAGTCACATCACTTCTGAAGGCCTCAGCTTTATCTATAAAATTAGGTTAGACTAGACAAACTGGAAGGTCCCTTCCAGAATGAAATCATATGGTCCCATGATCACCCCCTCGTGGCTCCTTGTTCCCATCTTCCCCTCTGACTTTGCTGTCTCCAGGCTCCACTCTCAGGGCTCTGAGCTCCCTTTCCATCTACTCTCCTTCCTACTCTTTCATTCCTAATATCGGTAACCAAGGCTGCTGACTCCAAGAAGGGCTCTGGGATTGAACGAAAGCCAACTTCTCTAAAATACCCTCTTAACATTCCCTCTTCTCTGTCTTACATGATGAATTCTCCTCTTCCTCCCCAGACCTTGCCCAAGGGGACCCCACGACTCATCCTTTTTCCTCTCAATACCCCATCCCTGACCCCCTCCTCCTCCCTGACAACTTCTCCTTCTTCCCTGTCACTGGCTTTCTCACCAGATCTCCTCAGCTCAGGAACCAGCCTGGGACAAAGCCCCTCTCTCTGGTTGCCTGGCCCCCTTCCAGCACTTCCCCCTTCCAGGCCGCACCTTTTGTAAAGGGCTATTCTGTCTCCCCAGGGAGGGGGCTGGGCAGCTAAAGGGATATTAACAAATTTAAAAAAAGAGACCACGGGACATTCTATTGCCCAGATTAGTTGCCACGATAGATAGGCTAGCACTTTCTTTGATCAATCTCAAAGCAAGTATAGGAATAGACCCTTCACTCTAAGCAGCTCTCCTCGTGGGCCAGAATGGAAGCTCAAAAAGGACACTCATGTCCAGAGAGGGCAAGAAGCTGGGGAGACACTAAGGATAGAAGTAAAGGGAATGGAAGAGGATCCAGGTATTCAAGAACCCCTTGCCCTTGATTTTCACAGTGGTCTTCATGTCATCAGGCCCTGGAGCTGAGATTCTTTACATATTGAGTAAATCTCATCTTCCAGAGAGACAGAGATGGACACCATTTAGCTCCCATTGTTGCCTCCAGGTTTTGGTCTCAGCTTAGGGAACAGCATGGGGGAGCCTGCCATAGAAACAGGACAGTGTATCCTCTGGACAGATGGAGGTGCAGGAAGGCTGATGCAAGAACAGAGAACTAATAGATGAAGTGACATTCTCTCCTCCATTCATTCCCCATCTCCTCCCCCACCTCTACCACTACCCCCAAGTTGAATCAAAGCCAATTTTCCTAGAAACTTCTAGGGTTGGAGGAAGGAACATGACTAGGGAAACTGGATGCTTGAGCTTCTTTCTAACCTTGAAGGCCAGGAGTCTCTCAGTCAGTAAGGATATTTGAATATCCTGAGACCTCTTACTTTCAAGAAACATAGGCAATCCATACAATCTTTTGGATTTTTTGGGAATCGATAAAAGGCTATACTAGGTGCCCACTGGTTGCTCTAGAGAGTTATTCTCCTTGGAGTTATGCCAGGGAAGTGTGCCTGGCCTGGGCATCCCCCCACCTTGGCTATAGACTAAGTCTCACCCCAGTTTCATTATCCTGATTCCCCCTTCTCTCTGGGACTGGCATGGCTCCCCATTTCTGGCTTTCTCTGCCAGGGAACAAAGGAACCCCCATTCCTGGCATTGCTTTCCCTACTATGTCCCACAGACTGCTGGGAGCCAGTCGGGCCCACATCCTGCAGCAGAGGCTAAGGCAACAGAAGAAAAAAATAAGGAAAAAGAACTCAGGCACCTGTGCCTTCATTTCCCCTAGTTTTAACAATCCCTCCTTTTCAGATCTGAAAATTTAAAAGCACTTAGCTAATCTGACCTCACCCTCACATTCTCTTTGCCATCTTTCCATGCCTTAGTCTCTCATCCGCAGTTACAATGTCAGACACCTCCCAAACCTCGTCTCTGCTTATAGACTCCTCCTCTGCTCCCAACTTCTGGAAGGAATTGTCTCAACTCATCCAATCTTGGGGTTGAATCCAAAAAGCCTTCTCTATTACTGCTATCTCCAGACTTCTCCCTATTTTCCTTATTTCCCTATTTCTTCTATCATGTTATTGAATAAGGAATATCAAGGGAGACTAAAGGCCTTGGAGGTTGCTCTGAGGTAGTTCAGGACCCCACAGTCATCTCAATTCCTCTTATACTTAGTGTATTTCTGGTCTTTAAACCATACTCCCATAATGAGACATTATTGCAATCCTCAGCTGCAAGTGCATCCACAATTCTTATGCTACAAACCAGTGACAAGGGTGAGGGGAACAGAGGGGTCTCTATATGTCTGAGAACCTAAGAATGGGTATAGTGTGTGTCTGTCTGTTTCTATGTTTGTATGTACATTTATATGTCTGTCACTTGATTTGGAGTCAGACATGGGTTCAAATCCTGGACTTGACACTTAGTATGCATATACCCAAAGAAAACTCATTTCAATTCTCTGAGCCTCAATTTCCTTATCTATAAAATGGGGATAACAATATTTGTACCACCTACATCACCGACTTGTGAGGAAAGTGCATTACAAACTTTTAAGCACTTACTAGCTGTGTGACCCTGGGCAAGTCACTTAACCCCAATTGTCTCACTAAAAAGCAAAAAAACAAAACCAAAAACAACCTTTAATCACTATAGAATGTGTACTATTTATTATTAATTCATATGTTAGCATATGATTATTTGTTTTTCTGTATCTGTGAGTGTGGTCCTATGTCAGTCTGTTCCTGTGTATGTTTTTGAATATGTCCACACACATGTGGATCTCTTGATATATGTATATCTGGGGCCTTCCTGCTCCTATTCCAATTATCTCTACTTCACTTTCCTGGAGGGTGAATGGGAAATGGATATTGGAGCTGAAGGGAAATGGAGATAGGGGTATATGGATAGAAGAAGATCTAGGTGGGGAAACATTTTTCCTTCCCTGTTCTTTTTCTTTCCTTTTTTTTTTTTTTTTTGCTAGACAATGGGGTTAAGTGATTTACCCAGGGTCACACAGCTAGTGAGTGTTATATGTCTGAGGCAGGCTTTGAACTCAGGTCCTCCTGACTCCAGGGCTGGTGCTCTATCCACTGTGCCACCTAGCTGCCCATCCTTCCCTGCTCTTAAGGAGACTCAGCTTCAGATTCCTCCTCTCACCACCAGAAACCCTGACACATAGATTGAGGGGTACCTCTCCCTCCCCAGATCTGGACCTGGGTGAGGCTTTGCATTCAGGTTGCATCTTTCCCCTAACCCTCTGCCTCCTGAGTCCAAAATATCTCTAAATTGCTTAGGAAGCTCCTCCAGATGGGAGTCCCCATTTGATGATCTGCTCCCTAAGCTCAGACTGGGTTCTCAGCACTGCTCTTCCCAATTCAAGACTGTATCATTCAGAAGCCCCAACTACCTCTACCCTCTCTGTCTAAGCAAACCAAGCTCAGAATTGAGTTAACCAAGTGATGAGCCCTCTGACCCCTCCCTGCATAACCACCAGGACCCCACCAGGACCTGCTCAGCCCTTCTATTAAATATCTCAGAAGGGAAAAAAAAATATTACCTCTATAACTAACCCCAAGAACCCCTGAAATCTTCCCATATCTCTCTCTTGCTCCTCCTCTTCTTCTCCCTCTTTCCTCCTCCCTCTCTCCCTACCCACCCCCATGCATGTCCTTGTCTGGGACACTCCCAGCAGTTCAAGAATCTTCATTACTATCACATCATTCATATAGCTTATTCAACATCCTGCCCATAGTCATCAATATCACTCTAAGACCTAACTGAAGCAGTTCTCTCTATCCAGAGGACCCTGGCCCTCCTCTGAACTGCAGCATGCACATCGAGCCCCCTTACATTTCAGCTGATAAATCCAGAGCTAATTATGTCCCTGTCAGCCCTGTCTGTAATATCAGCCATTCTAAGAGCAATAATATTAGTAATATGGTTCATAATACCATTCACGATCATACTAGTATGAACGTGATCATTAATAATGATGCCAATAAGATTAGCAATAATAGCGAACATACTCTGATCCAATGCAATGCATATAATTTTTTTGAGGGGGTGGGATCTATAATTTCATCTTTGTAAGGAATTCCCAATGTGGAAACTCTTTACTAAAGCAACTCATCTGTAACTTAGTCTTACAGAGTTGTTTGGGAGCACTGAGAAGTTAAATATGGTCACGGTCATAGTCAAACATGACCAAACAACTAGCTTGTATCCAAGGCAGAACTTTAACCCAGGTCTTTCTGACTCTATGGTAGGCGGGCCTTCTGTCCACTGTGCCACAGTCCTAGCAATACTATTAATAGGATAAGGACTAGACTTGAGGTTTCGATGGTATAGGGAACACCCTAATGAGGGCACTCCATCTACCAATGCAAGTCAACACTTTTTTGGCAGCTAAAAATCTTAAGAGAGTTGCCTAGAGTACTGAGAAGTTAAATGATTTAACCAGTAAATGTCAGAAATGGACCCTGAACTCAGGTCATCCTGGATCCAAGGTTGGCTCTTTATCCACTACTATACAATACTTCTCCTTTTAATATTAGCAGCATAATTAATTGTACTAATTATAATCTCAGTAAGATGAGCCACATTGTTGGCAATATTGTGAGTAACAATAGCAGCAGTATTAGCCATGGTGTTTTTAATGCACCTGGCCATACTGGTAATTAATATTGTTAACAATCACATTCATGATGTTATTGGCAGTATGTGAGCAATGCTGTTGATCGATTAAATGCTTGTAGTGATCACATTATCTTACCAATGCTGGTATTAATACATCAGGCAAGAATACTATTATTAATAGTCATAGCACTATTGGTAAACCTATTAGTAACATCACTAATAGAAATATGACCAACTTTATAATAATAATAACAGCTAGCATTTATATAGCATTTTTAGGTTTTATAGATATTGGCTCATTTGGTCTTTACATCAACCTGAGAGGTAGGTTCTATCATTAGCTTCATTTTACAGATGAGAGAACTGAGGCAGAAGTTAAATCACTTGCCCAAGGTCACACAACCAATAAGTGCCAGAGGCTGGATTTGAACCCAGGTCTTCTTGACTCCAGGTCCAAAGCTCTGGGCCACCAATACTACTAGTGATCATATTAATACTAACTAGGATTAAGTACTACTATTAAGTGCTAATAACCAGTATTTGCAATTCTGTTATCTGTACATTAGCAACGTTAACAAAAAGTACTATTAATGGTATTAGTAACAGTAGTGTATTGGTGACACAACCCTATCAGGAGCAAAACCATCGGCAATTGGCATTGGACTGGGACTGATACTGAACTAGTACCAGTCTTCATGCAATTATTGGCAATAAAGTTGGCAATGCTAGTATCAGCACTACAAAGAACATTGGTAGCACATTTGATCACTCTGTTAGCAACCGTTAACAGAACCTGCAGCAATGCTGTGGATTATATTCCTAATAACCACATCAGTCACAGTAGCTGGCAATGCTAGGAGAGCTCCCCGTGGTACTCATGCCAAGACTGTAAATGTTTGGTAGTAATGCTGTCAGTAACGTTAGTTAGTTATACTACAAGCGAGGCTGTGTCCCCTCACTCCCGCAATTGACGCTCTAACAGCCCAAGGGAGCCCGGCAAGCAGTGACACCGGTGTGAACTTGCAGTAGCTGGCAGGAAACTCCCGGTGGATCAAGGATACTGTGTCCTGGGACTCCGGGACCCCCTGGAAACCCCTCTTCCCCCGCTCCCTTTCCCCTTCACCAGTACCGTCTCTCCCGCAGGAGCTTCTGGGGCAGGGCTGTGGGCTTCTTTTGCAAGACATCTCCCCTCATCTGGGGTGGGGGAGGGAAATGAAGGGTAGCCATTGCTCAGCGGGTTGGGGATTGCGGGGTGGTGAGGGAGAGCTGAACCGAACCGGGACCAGGCAGGTAGCATAGCATAAACTGTGTGCGTGGGGTGGAGGTAGAAGGCACGGCCATCCAGGGAATCGTTCACTCACCTCTCAGGAGAAGGACGAGGGGAGTCAGGGAGGCGCTGAGGCTTGGGGCGCAGAGCCCGCAAACTTTGGCGCCCCCGGGGGCTGGTCCTGCAGCAGGAAGGAGATTGCGGAGGGGACTGCAGAGTGAGAGGAAGAGTGAGAGCTAGAGAGAAGGCGAGCGCACGGAGAGGACGCTATAAAGAGGGCGCGGAGCCGGGCCCCAGAGCACCGCACAAAACCCCCTTTCTTCCCCCCGGGCGCCCCGGCTTCCCTTCCCTCCCCTCCTCCCTCTCCTCTCCTCTCGCCCCCCACCCCTCTGACTAGGCCGGCTCCGGCCAAGAACAGCCTCTGTCGCCCCAGCTAGGGGGCTTGGAGATCACGGGTTATGGCTTTTTCTCAGAATCTGGCCCCAGTAGCACCAGAGAAGCGAGACAGAAAGGACAAGCGAAGTAGGACATTATTCTGGGGACAAGGAACAGAAGAAAGGCCGGGAGGGAGGCGGAGGGAAGGGGGAGGGGCGGGCTCCTTGGGGTAAGGCAAAGTAAGAGACTGCTACTACAGCAGAAAGGATGGATGATAGATTGCAGGAAGGACTTCCCGTTGATTCGGGAAAGGATGTCTAAGGGAAGCAAAAAGCAAAGGAAGAGCAGTATATCCCTGGAAAGCAGACCTGTCCGTTTTTGTTTCCACCCCCAACCCTACCCACCACCCACAACGCATGGTTGGGGGGCGGGGGGGAGAAAAGCGCAGTGGGTAGAACGCTGGCCCTTGAGTCAGGAGTTCCTGAATTCAAATGCGGCTCAGACTTACTAGCTGTGTGATTCTGGGCAAGTCACTTAATCTGTTTGCCTCAGTTTCCTCATCTATAAAATGAGTTGGAGAAGGAAATAGCAAATCACTCCATTACCTGCCAAGAAAACCCCAAATGGGGTCAAGAAGAGTCAAACACGACTGAAAATGACTGAACATCATCATACACGGAGATGAAATGAATACCTCTGCTCCACCTGCTTTCTGTAGCTTGGGTTATTCTGTTTTCCTGAGTTTTCTCCCCCCCCCCCAATAGATAGAGAGATAGGGTGGGGTTGACATTGCAGTAGCAGCGCTGGGAGTTAGGCTGCGGGTGGATTGAGCAAGCAAAGAAAGTAATGAAACCTTTGGAGTTCTCCCAGATGGAAGCGGGGCATTATCTAGGGGAGCCCTGTTCCGGCAGAAAAGGGGATAGGAAGGGGCTGGTGGACACTGAGAGGATGATATGAGGGGGATCAGGTGAACTAGCTCGTATAAATAATGAGCAAAGCGATATGCAGTTACTGAGTGTGGGGGAAGCCTCCAGGGCCAAACTGCTCCCATAAACGAATGTGGCAGGCACCTTGGTGCCAAGGGGTGGATCAGAAACACTGGCCGGAACAGAATGCTGAGGTGCCCAGAATACTAACTACTCGTCCACCCCAACCCCCAGGACCCAGGAGTTTTGCTTCCCTTCTCCTTCAGGACCTCGGCCTGGGTCTTTCCCAGACTTTCTTTACAGCACCAAGGAGACCAGACATGATCACTGGCAGGGACAGAAGGCTGGACAGATGGACGCCTAGATTCTTCCAGGGGCTGCTCAGCTACTCTCAGCCCACCCCTTTTGTTTCTTCCCTTTGTGGCATGGGAGGTTTTGCTCAAAAGTACTTTGAAATCCTCAGCAAAGAATCACCCTACATTATCTCCGTGTCAATGAAGAGGGAAAAAGGAAGGGCATAAAGCGGCTAATCCTGGGTCCATCCCAGGGGAGGGCAGAGAAAGGCTGATGGTGGAAGAAATTAGGATTAGATAGTAGGAGGAACTCCCAATATCTGTATAAAAAAGGGGAATGGAGAATTGCCCTCTAGTCCCAGGATGATAGGGGGGAAGAAAAGTGTTGGAAGCTCCATGTTGGAGCAGATGCAGGGGGAATGGCACAATGATCTCTAAAAAATTTTTTAAAAATTTCTGGGTTGGAGATGGGCTGGGGGAAGGAGGGGCATTCCTTTCTGTGCTGGGTCAATCTCCAGTCTCTGGCCCAGTTTAAACCTTGCCAGACAGCAGCCAAGGAAGTGAAATTCAATCGCACAAGCGGCTTATATTTAACCACTGGCCGGCCCCTCTCTCTTGGGAGTTGAGCAGGGGGGGGTTTCTTCGTCAGGGACTCAAAGTCGTCTACACTGCCATGGTGCAGTGGCTAAGGCAGATATAACAACTCTGAAAAGCAGGGCTGTCAGAATAACTCCCCGGGTCCATTCTGAATTTACTCTAATAGCATCAGCCCGCTAGTGGCAGCGCAAGGTAACCAACTTTCCTGAGCTGAAAGCTTCTGTGATATGACTGGTGTCATTATTATTTTAGCTGCATTAGTATCACTCGAAGGCTTCCCCTCCAACTACCCCCGCCACACTACCATCACATCGGGGAATTTCTGACCACTAGGAACTGGATGTTTTAGGACAGAGAGGTCAACATATCTTAACAACTCCGCCACCAGGATACAACACACACACACACACACACACACACACACACACACACACACACACACACACACACTCCGCCAGCACTGCCCAAGAGAGAGGGTTAGACTAAAACCTCTTGCTTTCAGGGATTTGAAGAATGCCAATCATTTAAGTTCCACGGATCTTCCTCTTGCTCAGAGGAGGGCTGGGAAGCCAGACTTTCTAGCAACTATCTTTCCTTCAGTTTTTCAGAAACTCATAGTCCACCTGGTTGGCGAAATTGTACCGGGAAGGATGAAAGTTAAACTTTAGACAGAATTGCCTAGTTACAGTAGGGGGGCATGTGCGCCTTTTCAGTTCAATTTAAATGACTTCATATGTATAATGGGTATCATATTCCTTGCCTTTTCAATGGGTGAGCGAGGAGCTGAAGGAGGAAAAGAATTCGGAATTGGAAATAAAAATTTAAATAAAATAAAATGTATTTAAAAGGCATTGGATAGGATGATTGTAGATCCTTGTCCCCTCTTCTCGGATGGCACTTAACTCTAGTCTACTGTTTACTACCTCACCTCAAAGGTCGGAGGAGAAACTGAGGCCAGCGAACACCAATCTCCCCCCAGCCCCGGCTCTGCACGTGGCACGGACACCTGGGGCCTTTGCCAATTCTGTGCCAGCCGCCACCTCTGGGGGAACGGAGCAGGAAGGGGGCTGACAGTGGAGGGGGTGCGGAGCGGAAGCCGCCGGCAGGCAATTACCCAGCAGCTGCGCGGGGAGAATTGAGGCTTTGAGAGAAACTGAATAGCAGGGTGACATGCCTGGGTCTTCGGCTCCAGCGAAGGAGGGGGAGGGGAACGAGTCTGGGGGAAGGAAGCTTGGACCCAGAACTAGAGAAGTGAGGGGAAAGTGCGCGGGGTGGGGGGGGCGGGGGCGCAGGTGTCTTGGGTCCTACATCCTCTCGGGTAAAGGAAGGAGATGGGTTTCCAGCTCTTCCCTGACTTTTCCATACCCTGCAGTGGTGCTGGTCTCCTTGCGTCTTCCAGATTAGGCAGTGATCCATCTTATCCCTGTCTTTCATATTCTCTTGGTCTGTGCATCTCCCTATCTTTCCTAACTCCAATTGTCTCTCTTCCTCAAAATCTCCCCCCTTAACATGACCCCAATTTCAGAAGCAGACCTTCCTCATCCTCCCCTCCCCCCACCCTAGCTCTCAAGTTACTTGTCCGGACACCTGGGTGCTCTCCTTCCTTCTGTTTCCTGGGACTCGTTCCACATGATTTAGAACAGGAAGTGTACCTTAGGCATCCTCTAATCCACACATATCCTCAATTTGCAGATTGCTCCCCTTTCACTACAGCCTTCCTCCCATTACATGCCAGGGGACAGTCCTTTCCTGACCCCTGAGTGAGGATGTTGGAGGAATGGGAACCGACATGGTTAAATACTTTTAACTTCTTTGGAGAGCGAACGTCTCCACGGTTACTTTATTAATCTACAAAGATCAGTTAATATTTCGACACTGGACTTCGTTCGGTTCTCGCACGCCGGACTCGTTCTCTCCAGGGGGAAGCACCATTCAAATACTATTAGCTCTCAGGGCAAGTGTACCCAGTCACCCCAAAGGCCCCCAAACCACAACCAGGAAGGTCAGCGGCCCTGGAGCATCTAAAATGCCTTCCGCCCCGGCCCCGTCTGGACTTTGCCACAGCTATCTGCAGTGCGGGAGACAGAGAGCATCAGTAAGTCCTTCCCCATCTCCCCCAGTCTCTCTAGCAAGGAAAAGCTCGGAAAGGAGAGAGGCAGTGCAGACACACCCCATCCCCAATTCGACTCTCAATCTCTTTTCCCAGTTGGACTTAGATCCAACAATAGGAAGGAGCGTTGCTATCTGGACTGGGATTTTGGAGAGGATGTCCCCCTAGGTCTCGGCATAGCAGTAGGTCCCATAAGCCGGCTGCTCCGGGCTGGGGAAACCGAAGCTGCGGACTCCGGGATCCGGGAGGCCCCCGCAGCGAGGCCGCGGAGTGGTAATGGGGAAGCGCACACTGCCGTCCGCCAGCCAGCCCCCGTCGCAGCGGTCCAGGCCCGAGAACTTCCAGGCTGCATAGAGGTGGCCAACCTTGGCCAGCACAGCCCCTCTCCTGGCGCAGGCTCCGCTCGCCTCCGCGAGCGTCAGACGGCCAGGCACGAAGAACACGTGGCCTGGGAGGAGTAAGGGAGCAAGGCTAAGACTGGACCTCGCCCAGAAGGCGGGGAGTAAGGGGTGTGGGGCTGACTCTGGCGGGATGAAAACTACATGGACCCGCCTTTTAAAACTGCCCCTTTCCCCCTACCCCCAACCCCCATCTTGTCCCCTAGTTCAGCTACCTTTCTCCTGCCGGCCTCTTTTTCCGCCACCCTCTTAACCAAGCCTCGTGACCTATTCCCCATTTTCACCTTTCTCCAGACCACTCCACATTTTTCAGGCCCCGCTCTGTTTCCTAGCCCAGCTAATTTCACCTGTCCTTCACCTATCTAACCCTACTAAGCCCCGCCTCTTTCCCCCTAAAATCTGGTCCCCACCCCTATATAGCCCGGTCCCATTTATCCGTTTCTCTCCCCCTCCCCCTTTTTTGTAGTTTAGCCCCCTCCCTCTCTTTTCCAGTTTAGCCCCAGACCAGGCCCTACCTCTTCCTCTAATACTGCCCTTATTCTCCTAACCCCGCCCTCTCCTCATCTTCTTCTCTAGCTTTTACCCCATCCTAGGCCTCTCCTTTTTTCTAGTTCCAGACCCCACCTCATTCTCTAATCCCGCCTCATTTTGACAGTCCCTCCTCTTCTCTAGCTCCATTCCTGCTTCTTTCTGTAGGTCCCGACCTGCCCTTTATCTAGCCCCTCCCCATTTGTCTGCACCTCGCTTCTTTAGTTTAGGCCCATGCCAGGCCCAGCCTCTTCTAATCCCGCCCTTCTCCTAGCCCGACTTCATTGATCTGCCCTCTTATCCTCTTGCCCCCATCGCATCCCAGCCCTACCTTTATTCTAGTTTCAGGCCCCATTTTATTTTTCTAATCCCGCCCCATTCCGATGGCCCCCCCTTCTCTAGCCCCGCCTCATTGGGTTGGCTCCTCCTCCTCTCCTTCTCCCCCTCTTTAATACCCCATTCCAAGCCCCTCCTTTTTCTCTATGGACTTGGTCCCTCTTCTCCAGCCTCACCCTCAGCCCTAACCTCGCTTATTTTCTCCCGCCTCGTGGGGTCCCAACCCCTCTTTTGCTCCAGGAGCCTCAGTCCGTTTCCTCTTCTTTGTGGCCCCCACCCCGCTCCCCAGTTCCCTCTCCCCGTACCCTGCAGAGCAGATGTGAAACAGAAGGCGTCGTAGCGGTCAAGCTGCTTGTCTCTGGGCCCATAGCTGCGAATCCCTGGCAGGCCCCGGCCCCCACAGGGTGCTCGAGCTGTCAGCACTGGGTAACGCACGGAGCCCTCCAGGAGCCAACCCGCGTTACACCAGTCCAGGCCCTCGGTCCACGCTGTGGGGCAGGACCAGGAGAGGAGGGGCTGTCACTGCCTCCCCGAGCTGTCGCCTTCCCCCTTCTCTCATTCCCTTCTTTGCCGAACTATCTCCTTCCTCACACCCACATCTCCTATTCTCTCAGCTTCCAGCATGACTCGGGGCCCAGGAGAGGAGGATGGTGACAAGGAGCCACGGAAAGGACCCAGCCCGCCCGGGACTGTAACCCGAAGTCTGCTCACCCTGGTAGAGCTGAGGGTACGTGGCCAGCCGCCCGTCCTGCTCCGCACATGCCTTCTTAGCTTCATAGTAATTAAACTGGTATCGACCCTGACTGGGCTGGTACGGGAAAACTACACCTGGGGGTGAAGAGATAGAGACTGACGGGATCCTGGAAGTGTGGTATTGAAGGGTCACTGGGGGAGAGAGACACCCGACTTTCTTACCCTCCAGCCTGAGGGTCAATGCCAAGCTCTCATCTTCCAGTCCATTGATGAGCTCGCAGCGGTATCTCCCCTCATCCTCTAGCGCCACACTCGTGATCACCAAAGAGGCATCCAGCCTGTGCCCCCTCCTCATCCTGGCACGGTCTCCCAGGGGCCCGTAGCCCCGAGCATGGTGCCCATTGGTAATCAGGATCAGTGTTTCCCGTAGATCCCCAGGCTCCACTTTGCTCCAACGCACCTTGTAGCTGGGGGGTGGGGTGCCCAGAACGCAGGGTAGGGTGACCGTGGCACCGCGGCGAGAGTGAATGACCTCATGGATGGGGGGCAGGAGGTAGTGGGGACCAGGGTGGGGTGCTGGCAAAGGGGGCCAGATTGACAGGGACACCCTGGCCCCAAACTGTCTTCTATGACCCATTCCAGCCCCTGCCCATCTCCCTACCAGTGTCCCCTCCCCACCTCAATTCCTATTCCTTCCCTCTAGGTGTCCCTCAAGTCTTTGCCCCTTCTCTCAGTATCTCATCTGTCCCTGCACTCCATCCTTCCAATGTCTCCCACCCAGTCCCTGCCCCTCTGCCCAGGGTCTTCCCAGCCAGCCACTCCTGTCCCCTAGGCCGGGGTCATCTTACCTGGGTTCCCTGTGTCTTTGTGATAGATGGCAACACCTAGAGGAAAGAGGAGACTCCAGAGAACAGGGAGGATTAGTTGATTAAGCATGACAGGAACTCAGCTAGAAGGTGATCTGTAATGACAGTTATAACAGGGCAGACATCATTTCAGGAAATGAAAAAGAAACAGTGTGGGGTGGGCCTAGAAAACAGAAGGCATGGGGGAGAGGGTGTCACAGTGAAGTCTGAGCAGGCATTCTTTAGAGAGAGGTGACCACCTGGGTTCCATCTTCAATGGGGCATAGCCACAGGGACTGAATTTGGTAGCAGGAAGAATCACAGGCAAGACTGCTTCAGGGAGACAGTGGAAGGGAGTTAAGGAGATAAGGAAAAAGGCCTGACTGTATTCTGTCTCCCCAGAAAGAAAGAACAAGAGACAAACATGCTATAGCAGTAAAACTAGAGGTTAGACATCAGAAAGAAAATTTCCTGTTGGAAAGAAGGGGAAGAAATCAGAACTGGGAAGTAAGAGAGGAAAGTGACTTTTTTTTCCCCCCAAGAGATCTTGGGAAAGGAGAGAGACTGCTTGCTATCTGGCAGAACCCGGGATCTGGAGGTGAAAAGATACACTGAAACTGGCTTAGGCATAATGAAAAAGATAGGTAATATTTGTATGGTGTTTTATCCTTTTCAAACCATGCCCACATACATTATCTTGTTTGAATATCTCTAAGTGGAGAGAAGGGTGAGGACAGGAGTCTGCTTCCTTACCAAGAAGAAGCTACTTCCACAGTAGCAGAGTAAGGCAGTAATTAGTAACCTCTTGTCCTGTTTGAGAAAAAGAGAATCCTGTTGAAAGTTGCTTCCATTTCCAGGATGTCCAAGTACTTTATAGCACAAAGATCTCTTAGCACCTTGCAGATCTAATCTCTACTGTCTTCCCCCAAAAAAGGTGCTTGTTCATTCCCAAAGCTTGAAGAGAGAGACTGAGATTCCAAGACTCCTCCTAGATGATTCCATAAGTCTAGGCCAGGCATGGGATGTCCAGCTTCCGAGTCTGGCACTCCATCTGCTAGAACTTATTGCCATAGGAACAAAGGGAAGATGCCAATCCTGGATGGGTGGGGGGACCCTGGAAGATTTCTAGGCCTATGATGGGCACTTAGTAAACATTTGTTTGGCTGATTGCAAGTCAGTTGGAGGACAGAATTGACGCATGATATCCTGACAGTTGGTACTGAGGATTGGGCAAGTTGGGGCTGTCTTTTCCTGAAGATCTCTAGAATTCTCATTAGGCTGTGCTGGAGGAAAGGATGAGCTAACTTGTCTCACTATGGTGTTTATATCTGTGAGAGAGAAGGGAGGGTTGTCTATAAACTACAAATGGGTATAATTACTTATATTCCTGCTATCTCCATACTCCCTTACAGACCTCCCAGACAGAAACTCTCTCACCTTTGCACACTGTGTCCTGGTCCTGGCCCCGATCTGAGCATCGCTTGGGAGAAGAGATTCTTGGGGTAAGACCCAGACATCCAATTGCATCAAAACCCTGACTTCTTCTGCCCAACCCCCTGTCTGTCTGTTTGTCTTTTACTTCTCTGTCCCCACCCCATAGGAAGCACAATTTCCCATTGTCTTTGCCTTTCTCCCTATTGTTGTATAACAGATACCCTTTCTTTATCTGGTAGGGAATGTCAACGAAATGTCAACAGCTGGGGATGTGGGATGCAGGGCTGGCTGGCACAGGCCACCGGAAAAAATGGCCAGGGATTCAGAGAGGGGGGATAGAGGTCTTCAAGGACAAAGAAGGAATGGGGGTCCAGAAAAGAGAAGGTTGAGTGGGACAACATCCCAGTCTCTAAATTTTCTTCGAGGTGGGGGAAAGAGGAGGTAACAGGTTGCTAGGTAGCAGAGTGGATAGAGTGCCAGGCCTGGGGTCAGGAAGACTCATCTTCCTGAGTTCAAATCTGGCCTCAGAAACTTAGTAACTGTGACCCTAGGCAAGTTACTTAACCCTGTTTGCCTCAGTTCCTCATCTATAAAATGAACTGGAGAAGGAAATGGCAAACAGCTCCATTATCTTTGCCAAGGAAACCCCAAATGGGCTCATGAAGAGTGGGGCACAACTGAAATGACTGAACAACAACAAAATAATGGGCACTGGGCCCACCTCCACAGAGATTGAATGAAGCTACTACTACAACAGAAAAGACAAGTTAAACAGCAAAGATGCATGTCTAGGAGACACTGAACTAGGGAGTTGAGGCTTTGAGAAACTCTCTGAAGGAGTCATTTGTTCATTCATTTCTCTACTCCTCTTTCTCTAGCCCTAAATGATAATTACATCTTCTGAGTTGAAATTTCTGTAGAGAAGGAATTTCCCTGGGTGATAAATCACTCATTTTGCTGTTGGGAAGCCCATCCTGGTCTAATTTAAGTATTTATTAATTTCAGTATCCTATTATTTTTAAAATAAAATTTTATTGATTCCTTCATTTTCATATGCACTAAATTTTCCCCAGTATTCCTCCTCCCTCCCCCAGAGAACCATTGAAAAATCCACAAAACCAAACAATATATCTAGAAAATCTGAAAGCATATGCAATGTTCCCACACCTAAGGACCTCTCACTTCTGCAAAGGCATAGGGAGTAGGGCTGCTGTCTTCTCACATCTCTTCTTTGAGACCAAGCTTGTTCTTTGTAGTACTTCTACAATATTCATTTTCAGTTGTGCTTGTTCTTTCCATTTACATTGATGTAGTAATGGATGTTACGTTTTTGGCTCTGCTTACTTCACTCTGCCTCAGTTCATGTGAGTAAGCTGACACAAAAGTGCTGCTATAAATAAGTACATCCTACTCTTATTTAAACCCATTTCCTTTATTCTGTCCTCACTGTAAAGGCAAGAACAGTAGAGCTCCATCCTCTGTAGCATGGGGAATAGACTTAAATAATCCCTTTGTCTTTTCTTATCTGGTTTAAGCAATCCCATGTCTTTATGATGATGTTTTAGGGGTGCAAGGACCCCAAAATACCAAGGTTCAGGGCAGAGTTGTCTGGAAAGAATTCACAGACTCAAGTAGTCTTCCAGTTAAGTCGCAAAAATTTATTGTAATGCTAATATGGCAGGCAGAGCTCCTTAAGGAACTTGCAACCTAACAGAAGTGATGCTAAAGCTTATGTAGAAAAGATACAGTGAATTGTGTGGCAAGTATGCTAATTAGGTAGTAGATATACAGTTTCTGTACCTTGGGCACAGGTGACATTCACTACTGGCATGGCCTGGGGTAGGGGTGGGGAATCTTCTAAGGGGTCTGTATGTGTGTACATCTACCTCTGTGACAAGATAGCCTTGGGCACTGATGTCTATGGCTTGACCTCTGGATTGCATACAGTAACTATGGAAATCAGTACATAATAATTCTGCTGGTACCAGATAGTCCTGTTCATAACAAGGGAAATTCTACAGAGGTCAGCTTGTTCTTGTAACAGGGAGAGATGGTTTGCCCCACTGGGGCCCACTCATGAGTTATTGCCAGAGATAAGATCTTTGGGCTGGGGAGAGATATGGTCCTAGGGCAGGGGTCCAAGTACCCCATCATTTTAGCTTCATATAATGTTCTGCTGCTTTCTCCCCAGATATCTCTTCAGCCTTCTCTCTCCATTCTCTGTGCCTTTTAGATTCTGGGAAGCCTTAAGATTCTCATCAGGACATAACTGGCAGAAACTAATAGGAGAGGACCCAATCTGTCCTACAAAAATCAGAGTCACAGAATTTTAGCATTGGAAAGCATCTCTGCAACTATCTAGTCCAACCCAAAAGAGATCCCCACTATAATATATCCGACAAGTGGTCATTCAGTTTTTATTTGAAGATCTCCTATGAGAAGAAACCCTATCTCCTGAGGTAGCCCATTCTAATTTTGAACAGCTAATTGTTAGGACAATTTTCCTGATGTTAAATCCAAATTTGCCTTTCACCTGTTGTTCCTATTTCTTATCTTCTGGGGCCAAAAAGAACAAATCGGATCCCTTATTCACATGATAGCATTTCAAATACTTGAATATGGCTATCAAGTTATTCCCCACTCCCCCACCTCTAACCTTCCCCAGTCAAGTCAAGAAGCATTTGTTAAATATTTACTATGAGCCAGGCACTATGCTAAATACTGGGGATTCAATTATAGTCAAAAAGGCCCTCCTCGGAGGCCAAGCCAAATATCCCTAGTCTCTTTAGTAAATCCTTACTCAAGGCCCTTTCACTGTCCTGGTTGCCCTCCTCTGAAAGCTCTCCAGCTAGAGTTCTGAGTTAGACACAATATGCCAGATATGGAGAGTATGGGAGTATGCAGAGTAGGGAGGGACTGTCTGCTCCTTATTTCTGGAAGCTATTCTCTTAATGAAGTTCACATTTGCTTATTTAAAGCTCATATTAGACAAGAAAATTGATTAAAAAAAATTAAACTCACATTAGCTTTGTTGCCTTCCACATCCCATTGCTGGCTCATATTAAACCTTCAGTCCACTAAAGCTCTTAGTCCTTTTTCAGACAAACTGATGCCTAACAGTGGTTCCCCCATCTTGTACTCAAGACATTGACTTTTGAATCCAAGTATAACATTGACCTCTATTGAATTTCATCTTATTAGATTCAACCAACTGCTGTCAAGATATTTTTGGATCCTCTCATCCTCTAGTGTTTTGACTATGCAGCTTTGTGTCATCTGCAAATTTGATGAGCATGACATCTATGCCTTTATCCAAATCACTGATATTAATGTTAAATGGTTTCTATTTTTCCTTCCATTAATCTTCATCCAAAAACTCTCCATCATGCTTCCCCCACTCTGGTTCCTAGATTTCCTCACACTAGTGTGCCTTCTTAATATACAGTGCTATGCCCCCAGCCATTTATCTATTTTGCTTGTTTTGAATAAGGTATCTCTACCCATCCAGAGCTATGGTCTAGCCATAGGTTTCATTCCACTCAATCTCAGTGATAACTGAGGTCAAATATGCCTGCCTGAATTAAGATATCTTGCTTGTTGCCTAAATTTTGAGCATTTGTGTATAAACATTTGAAGTTATGGGTTTTACTACAGATTCCTTTTTGGGAGATCTTTGCCACTTACGAACTTATCAAATCCTAGCAAATCCAAGAAGCTATATTCTTCCTTTTCTTCAGCTGTTCTCTATGACGTCTGGTTTAAAGACTACACCTAGACATTCTTTCCTTCCCCCATACTTTTTATTTTAAAGCTCTTTTTATTAGATTTGCAAAATACTAAGCCAATATATCCTAAATACCCTTTGTTAGGTACACTCCATCAATAGCCAGTGGTCTCTGATCCCTATATTATAAGTCATGGCCCAGAAATCCAAATCCTATTCTTGGCCAACTGTTCATTTCCCCAAATAATTTTCTGTTTTGTATCCTTTTCCTTCAATATGCAACACAGGGGAAAATACAAGCTGCACCCTTATGGTCTTTAGGTTTTGTTCTTGTTTTTCCAGGACTTTTCATCTTTGGCGATGCTTTTTAGGTTCCTTCTGGCAGTATCACATATACCTTGTGAATCACCACAAGTGCTTAGCAGTCACCCACTTCGACAAGTCCTAAGAGATTCTCTTTGATGTCTTGAATATTTGCTCTAGGAAGACAATAGACCTCTTTATTGTTATTGGTTTGACAAATGACTGTCTCTACCCTCCTGATCAGGGAGCCATGACCTATCAACTTTTTTTCCCTCTATTTCCTCTGCTATTTACTGGATAAACTCCTATGGTATCTTTTGGGGCTCCACTATTTTATTCCTTAGAGTACAAGCAACTGCTTCTTCCTCAGAACCTACAGATACCTTTTTGAAATCTAGGTATAAGTGCCATCATCAAAGAGACATATCCTTCCCTTAGAGCTTAGAGCAGGAGTAGGAAAGGTAACAGTATAAACAGGAGCAGAAGAGGGACTTAAGATTATTTTTTATAAATGCATTTATTAAGAGGAAGAGCATAAGAGAAGTGGGGGATGATAAAAGGGAGGGCAGGTCAGGGGAGGGAGTATTCAGGATGCACGCTGTCTTGGGGTAGGGGAAAGGGAGAAACCGGAAGAAAATTTGGAATTCAAAATCTTGTGGAAGTGAATGTTGAAAACTAAAAATAAATAATTTAAAAAATAGATGCATCTATTTTTAATGCCAGGGGAAAAACATAACTGTGCTCTTTATGGCATGTAAGTATTAACTCTGTGGTAAGTCAAGTTGCATGTATTATAATGAAAGCTCAGAGTGATCAGTAATCCACAGGGTGCACAATTTTCAATCCTTCCCTTTGGCTTGAAAATGCCTCATCCCAGCTCTGCCTTCCTTTTCCTCTCAATTCCTTTTGTGCCTGGTCCTTTCCCTCCTCCCCTTGGACCAGTGGCTCTCTAGAGAGATGACAAACAACCTCCTGTCTCCTCAAACAGGACACCCTGAACCAGATCATCTGC